TGAAGTAAAATATAATATTCCACAAGATAAACTTAAATTCCTTTCTGTAAGACCTGTTCACCACGGCATATAACACAGGGTTAATCAGGCTACTGAAATTAACACCATACGACACCAGCATTATAACGTCCCGCGGGAGAGTCCCGAGGGTAATTCGCGTCAGTAGGACGATACAAAATAGTGGGATCCATATCAGCGTGAATGCCAAGACAATGGCGAACATCATTTTCGTGATCTTCACTTCTTTCGCCTTGAGGACACTTTCGCCATCATGTCCGACGTGTGGTTCGTTTGCCTGCTGGAAAGCGGGTTGCTCTCCTGGTTGGGTTTCCTTCTTTTCGTTTCGTTTCCTAGTGCCCTGTGGTACCTGTGCTCGATAAGTGTCCTGTGCGGGAAATTCCAGTTGGTTACTTAAGGGCTCTTTCCTCTTGTAGTTGGGAGACTTTGGGAGTTGCTGAGCCTGTGGTTCTTGTTCTGGTGCTTGGTCGCGGTGAGTGTTCTGAGGTATGTGTGGTTGATATGACTCCTGTAGGTCATTTTGATGATTCGTGGCCGTTTGTTCTTGTGGGTGAATTTTATCCAAGATCTTGCGTCTCTTGTTGCCAGGAGCGTTTGGCGGGTGTCGTTCTTGTGGATGAGTTGTAGCCCATGGCGCGAGTGATTGATGTTTGGTGTCTTGTAATGGATGGGGGATCTGTTGCTCTGTTTGAACTTTTTTCGTAGCTTTCCTCTTACTGTAACGAACATCTTCTTGTGGACTTCGCACTCCCTGTGGTTCTTCTAGATGTGGCATCCCATTTTTGGGAGGTGGACACTTCTTGTTTAAGCTGACAGATCCCTGTTGGCATGCAACCTTTGACTCCTCTTTCAGCTGAATGATGGCCTCTTGGTCTTCTTCTGGTTGTTGGTTGGCCTGGTCTTCTTCTTGTTGAGCTGACTGTGCCTCCTCCGCTGCAAGCCCGACTTGTAACTGCTGCGAGATCCGCGGCACTTGCGCACTAACTTGTTTTAACGCTCGATGCACTTTGTAGTAGCAAGCGGGTACGATTAGCAGTGAAGCTGTGATGAAAGACACGTGGGTGATCATGGTGTAAATTGTAAATTTGTCTTGAAAGGAAGGGACGCAAACAGCGTAACCAGAATTAAAAAAGAACTTTGTCCGTCCTATAACAAACGGTAGCAGAACAATCATGCTCTCTATGAACCACAGGCACACCACCATCAATATAGATGGTGTCGTCGCAAACAGAGATTGGAAAAGACCAGGCCGGGTCACTCGGATGTATCTGTTGATGGCTATAAGAGACATGGTGCTAATGGAGGCGTACACAAGGAAAATTGAGGAAAACGCGCCAACAAAGCAGCCCGCGTCTCCAAACTGCCAGCCTCCGGTGATCAGGGTGACTTCTACAAATATACCATTGGTGAGAAAGTTGAGAATGTCGGTGACCGCCAGAGCAACGATGTATATGGGCGTTATCTTTCGTAAAACTGGATTTCGATAAAACGCAATGCACACTAAGATATTTCCAAGGAAACCAGCCGTAGCCATTATTGTCCAGAAAGACGACTCCAGAACAACCCGCTCAACACTGCGTGGGGGAAGTTCCAACGAATTCATCGCTCTTTGTTTTGCCAAATCTGCAAATGAATGTCCATAGAGTGAGCAAGGGTACGGATTACCGCGTAAGTCCTTTGAAGCGCGTTTCCTAGGGTTGGTAAACAAGATAAGCATTCTGAAGACTGGATACTTGACATCGTTACATTAATGTGTTGGCAAGCATATTAAATTTTGAAAAACATGGCTCAATAAAAACTTATAAATAACTTACGGTACAAGTTATCCCCAAGACTGCTGTCAGCCTTTCATCTTTCGCGTTAAATTTTTGTGACTTCAACTAATGCATGAAAGTGTAAACGCCTGAACACCAACGAAGTCGACTGTTACAGCTGCAATCATAATTATCTGTCAATCTCGTCACATGTAAAATTTGTAACAATGGCAACAAATAACTTAACTGTAAAAGTCGTAGCCTTTTGTTATGGTATAACATTAACGTCGCATACATCTGATTGGAAGGAAAAGAGCAATTGATAGTCTTGATAGGCAAATGTGTTTGAGAAATTCTACGCAGAGGTAAGAATGTTACTGATAACCTTGGAAATATTTTGAAGGAATAATATTGAAAAAAATTTCGCATTACTAATGGTGTTTTGACGTTTATATCATTGCCCGTCGTCATCGTAGTTGTCTGGGTTCTTCAGTTCTAAATTTCCTCAAGCAGTAAAACCTTATAATCGTGTCAACTGAGGAAGTGGAACTTCGTAAGTACGCAGACCACATTTAACATATATAATATAGGAAAAAAGCGAAGGTAAAAGGTTTGAAAGAAACAAAATGATTACAGTTGAAACTTGAATTGAAGTACATGAATTATATTTTTTGTCTTTTGATTGAACAGCANACCAACGAAGTCGACTGTTACAGCTGCAATCATAATTATCTGTCAATCTCGTCACATGTAAAATTTGTAACAATGGCAACAAATAACTTAACTGTAAAAGTCGTAGCCTTTTGTTATGGTATAACATTAACGTCGCATACATCTGATTGGAAGGAAAAGAGCAATTGATAGTCTTGATAGGCAAATGTGTTTGAGAAATTCTACGCAGAGGTAAGAATGTTACTGATAACCTTGGAAATATTTTGAAGGAATAATATTGAAAAAAATTTCGCATTACTAATGGTGTTTTGACGTTTATATCATTGCCCGTCGTCATCGTAGTTGTCTGGGTTCTTCAGTTCTAAATTTCCTCAAGCAGTAAAACCTTATAATCGTGTCAACTGAGGAAGTGGAACTTCGTAAGTACGCAGACCACATTTAACATATATAATATAGGAAAAAAGCGAAGGTAAAAGGTTTGAAAGAAACAAAATGATTACAGTTGAAACTTGAATTGAAGTACATGAATTATATTTTTTGTCTTTTGATTGAACAGCACTTTTCATTGGCTGTCTTTTCAGCTATTATTTTCGCCTCAAAGTTTGAATTACAAGTAAAGTCCTTCATATTTGGTTTTTAGGCAATAATAAGAAATGAAACAATTAGAGAAAACTTGAACGAAAGCTAAAATTTTACTGACATCAATGGAAAAAAGTATTTATGACAAATTTCAAACCAGTTTGTGTTTTCCATTTCCCATATTGTGCAATTTAAAAGACGGGTCGGTTTCTGGCCGCAGCCGAAGCTTAGGAAATGAAAACTTCAACCGTGCGCGTGTCAGTCAAACACGGGAAAGTAATTATTTGGTTCGGCACATAAAAGGCAATAATTGTTGTTATTAGAATTCAACAAGCCAAAGGTGGAATGATTAAAATAGAAGGCACAGCTGTGAGCCTTCCTCTTGTAGGTTTCTTAAACTTATTTTTGTTTTCATTCGTATATTTTACGTTGTCTTATAACTTCAGTGTAAGGAGAGTGTTTTGGGGATTTACTATTTTTTTCCGTAGTGCGGTTAACTTGCTAAATGCATACTTAACGTTGATCTTTTTAAATAATTTTAAATAAACTCAACCACAAACAGGCTTGCTCAGTTATCGCCAAAGTCTGACAGTAATGACCAAGGAGTAATGATTATTGACGATTAGAGGTATTTTTATCATCCCTTGCTCCCCGAGCAAGGGATGGCGCAGTGGTGAGAGCGCTCGCCTCCCACCAACGTGGCCCGGGTTCAAATCCCGGCGTCGACGCCATATGTGGGTTGAGTTTGTTGTTGGTTCTCTCCTTTGCTCCGAGAGGTTTTTCTCGGGGGTACCCCGGTTTTCCCATGTCCTGTAAAACCAACATTTCCAAATTCCAATTCGGCCGGGAATCAGGTAGACGAAGAACGACTTTGTGGATGTGCTACCTCCAAATCATTATTTATTTATTTGTTGTTGTTTATTTGTTGTTGTATTACAAGGATAATTAATTATTTAACATTACCGATCATGATTGCCAAGGGCTTACAATATAGTTAAGTTAATTTCTTCGAAATATCAGGTTGAGACTAATTATTTCATAACTTCAAAAGACACTCCAAATGTACATATTAATTAGCAGTCAATATCAACGTTAATGTTACATTGTCATGTGAACAGCGAAAAACTACACCCTAACCCTGATATGAAATCGCGGCTTCCATATATTTTATTGGGGTTTACTTTCATTGCATTACAAACTCAAATCTAGAGCTTAGAAAGAAAGACTTATTAAATAGTGAAATCATAAGAAGAATAGTAAACGCTGTCACTGAAGAGCCGCCAGAAATGATACACGGTAAGAGGAAATAGCAAGCCCAGTTTAAACCAACTAAAAGGACATAACAGGACGGAAATTCCGTACACGTACCTAGAAGTAAGAAATATAGAGTATACCTAGAGGTTTCTTAGCTCCTACTGTATTTCCTTTGATTAACTAGGATTTTATCTACGATCAATAGACTTGAACCTGTATATCAATACAAAATGTGACGCCCCACTTACGTAAACGAGTCTTAACGTACTTACCATGCCGGTATTACTGCGAGCGTCAAAATTGATTAGCAAAATGTTGGCTGTAACATTGTATTAATGACCTTCCATTAGAATGAACAAGCCTAAAAGCCAGTCCTTATATAGACCAGAACACCTTTTGGAACTAATAGAATCGCACTCAAAAATCTCTTTGTCACAATTGCTCGGCTATTGAACTTTCATTCCAGGGAGTTCCATAGATAAAAACTTTTAGCAAACATTTTGTCATTTTCTTGTGTCGAAAATTTTGAAAAACTCATAATGTTTGAAGGTTAAATGCTGAAGAGGTTTCAATTGAGTGGTCACACCGAGATTTGGTCCATAGACTCAAAAGTTAGAATCTTGTTACATGCCACCATAATTGACCCTGGCAGTGAAAGGGCCAATAAATCATTCCACACGAATGATATGGAAATAAAGTATTTATTTTAAAGTATTTCAGAGA